CCAGTGCACCCACCACCACCTCTGCCACCTAAGCCTCCACATCTACCAATACACCCCTCTCTAAGCCTTCGTTCTCCACCTCCGCTACCTCCGGCTCCACTATAAACTCTGCTCCATCCGCCTCAACAATAAACTCCGCTCCCTCCGCCGCCACCACCACTCGCCGTCACTATTCTTTCCGCCTCCAACACAATTCCCCCGTTTCCACTATCTCCGTCTTCACTACAAATTCCTCTACTCCGCCTTCACCACATACTACGCTGCATTCACCTCCACCTCCACGTTTCCATTCTCCGCCTTCGTTTTCTGGGCGCACACACACACACACACACACACACACACACACACACACACACCCCACACACGCACAAACTCGCACTCAGACGAACACACACGCACGCACACACACCCGCACGCACGCACACGCACGCACATACACACGCGCGCGCTCTCGCGCACTCACATAAATTATAAAGTTTGTGCGACAAGGAGCTGAGCAAAACTGATATACTTTGATCCATTCTTGATGCGCGTGTGACGTCGGTGGATCTGCACTAACAGGATTTCAATACACTCGTCAGCGATTTGACCAACATTTGTTGATCTATCAACGGTCGAAAAAAATCATACTGAATATGATTTTTAGATCCAGAGTATATTTAATTTATATGCGACATTTACTTAGACCAAGTGGATCCGGAGCCATAATCGACGAATAGGTACTCGAACACGAAGCGGCAACGTCGCGTTCTGTGTGTGACAGAGAACCCAGTAGGCGAGCACAGTGTGACACACCACGAACCCCTTCAGCCAGTAGTGATGCAGCCCGTCAGGCCCCGGACTTTTCCAGTTCGGGGCCCTACGGACCGCCTCAGCTACGTCATCCGGCGTTATGATGACGGGGTCCATGGGCGTTATACTCGCACACTGACGCGCCATAACTTCCGTCCAAGGGCCCTCGCCCTATATGTGGTTTACGGGCTCTGACCACAGGCCGCGCCAGAATGCTACAGTGTCGGCCTGATTCGGTGCTGGGCCCGTTGCACTTACCATTGGTCGCTCCAATGATTCATAGAGCCTCTTCTGATCACTCTGGAAGAGACGATTCTGGTTGAACCGTGTCGACCTCTCGGTATATCGCCGAATCCGCTTTCCCCAAGCAGCGTTACGTATTATTCTCTGCTTCAGATCATCTATGCGCTCCGTCAGTTTTTGCGTTATATCCGGCTGGGACAAACTGACATTTGTCCCAGCAAACGCCATCCTGACGGTGCGCACAATTCTTGGCCTGTTGTTGCCTGATCTGAAGCATATCAGTCTGCCGATGAGAGCTCTAGCCTTTGCGATACGTTCCTCAATTCTTCTTCTCCATACTGGGATAGCGCTACTTTGGCCAGTAGCGCGTTCAGCCGTGGAAACCTTGGCGCCTATGATACGGCAGACTGCCAGCGTGGCGCCATAAAGAATTGAGTCAGTCTCGCAAAGGTCCCGGCTGGCTTCCAAATAGGTCACCAGCATTGGGTTCAGAGCCCTCACGACAGCCCGATTCCGCTTGCTTAGGGCTATGCGGGGAAGTCGCGGTCGATTTTCGAGAGGCCTACTGCGCGTTTCCACAATCGCCTCTTCCAATGTACTCCTCATATGCTCTAATTCCAGTTCCTGGGCGACTGTTCCATCATCGTTTGAATCAACCACAACTGGGGTATTCACGGCGGCATCCACGTTTGCGGGTTGCTCTACAATTTGTGGCGCCGCATCCTCAGCCGTAGCATTTTCATCCGATGAGGGAACAGCCTCACGTCGTAGCCGTTCGAGTTCGGCGACATCAAATATATTTGAGCGCAAGATATACCGAACTCGGTCTACCAGGTTTTGCTCTGTGACGGTTAAAGATGGCTCCAGCTCAGCAAAAAGACGATGCATCCTAGCCCGATACGCCAAACATCCAGTTTCTTTCCCTTTTGCCCTAAAGTACGCCCGCAGTGCGTTTGCGTTCATTGCTTGTGACCAACGCATGCGACGTGCTCCACCAGCGGCGGGTGCCGCTTGCTGAGTCCGAGAAGACCCAGCCGACACCAAGCCTTCTGGTGGGGATGATGGATGCGGAGGGCTGCTAGGTGACCGTGCAGCTCCTCGCACTCGGCTGGCGGCCCGCATGCTGCCGCGTCCAGCGCCAGCACCAGACGCGCCCTGGCGACCCCCAGGAAGCGGCCCTTTGCGCATTATCTTTTTATCCATCACCCATTATTTGGGCGTCCATTAACGGGAGACGCCCAGGCCCGTCACCGTATCGTGCGTGGCCATAAGCACAAACGGGTCTTTGCACCCTAAATTCTGCCGAGGCACGGCGCTCACACCTCTCGCAAGGCGCTGACTGACTGCGTTGACGTTGCAGTTTTGTCACTTAACTGTTACGTCAGCGAGCGATGGGGTCGTCAATTCCCTACGCCAATATTAATTTTATTAATGATTCGGCGACGGCAGGAGAAGAGTTCAGTGACTTAGTGGTTAAGATCGGAATATCAGTAAAATATTTCTCAAAAACCATTGCAAGGTCCTGAACTGATTTAGTTAATTTATTGTTAAAACTTAACTACCAGTTAATTTTATATAAAAAATATAAATAAATTAACTAAATCAGATCAAGACGTTTTTTTTTATTCAGGATTGTTTGATTCAGGACGATCATATAAAATTTAATATTCTTATAAAATTGTACATATAATCAATATGTTTTTGATTACATATGTTAAGCTATATTATCAAATTTCAAATATGAAAAATAGATTTAATGTAGATTTAGTACGTAGGTAAGAATATATACTAATGGTGATAGGTTGATAAAAATATGTTTGTATTATATTAAATAATTAATTAAATTTTTATCAGAATTTTATAAACAAATCCTTATTAAAAAAAATTGTTTTTGTAATTCTGTGCTGTGTTATAACCTACTTTAACATATGGTAGCGGAATTTGGGTGTGGCAGAAGAAGCACGAAAGTAGAAATGCAGTCATTAAGAAGTATGTTAGGGCTGAATCTGAGTGAGAGGGTGAGAAATTGTGTGATAAGAGTGTGGTTTGCAAGATGATGTTCTAGGCGAAAGAATACCGAAATTGGCGATATATTGAAAATGGGCCAAACTAAGGGTACCCTTAACCGATGAGCATGTATGTGTGGGTATAATGATGTGGAGGAGGCGGGTGAGATGTGTCAGGATGGTGCAAAATGGAAGTCTGTAGTCTGCCCACCCTCTGAGTGAAGGGCGTGAGTGTTTATGTTGTGTTAAGTTATATCTTATTAAAATTACGTTAGCTCTTTTATCTTATTTTAAATTCTTATAAAATTGTACATTTATTATATTCATATTTCCTTTATGTGTGAAACCCGCCAATAAACCTCTCAGGCATGATACGAGACTTCTGCCCAGCAGTGGGATGCTTTAGATCATACTTGAGATATCTAAACAATCCTCTTTAAACCTTTGCGCCGCCTTACTTCTTCTTCTACCAAACAACCACTTTAAAACAAATTAAAAATAAAGGCTGTAACTCTTTATTAATAATAATTCATTTCATTCATAAAATATATTCTCTACGGAGGGTCATATTTAGGTTTTTATTTATGCACCGTTTTCTCACTAAAGTCCTTAGTAATACAATCAATAGCTCCATAATCATCATCAGTCATAGAAAAAAACTTAAGTGCTTAAAACGCATAATTTGAAGCTCATTTCGTCATTATTTTAATTGTAATGCACAATTACGGCGTAGAATATTGATAGATTGTGGTCCTTCTGTGTCACTTGATGAAATCAACCAACATTTCGCTTCTGTAAAAGCACTGGACCCTACAATTCATTCCCAAACTATGGCTTCCATTGCTTCTCTGCAAATTCCTAACATTCCTACCTTTAATTTTTCTCCTGTTTCTCAGGATTATATCAAAAAGTCGAGTTTAGCAATCCAGTCCATGGCCGTGGGTTACGACGAGATTAGTAGACATATGGTAGTATTTATACTAGAGCACCTTCTTATATGCCACCACTTGCTTATATAGTGCTTTTTTACTTGCTTATTTACTTGCTTATATACTTGCTTATATACTTGTTTATATACTTGCTTATATAATTGCTTATATACTTGCTTATATACTTGCTTATATACTTGCTTATATACTTGCTTGTATACTTGCTTATTTACTTGCTTATGCTTATATACTTGCTTTTATACTTGCTTATGTACTTGCTTATTAACTTGCTTATTTACTTGCTTATATACTTGCTTATGTACTTGCTTATATACTTAAATATATACTTGCTTATATACTTGTTTATATACTTGTTTGTATACATGCTTACATATTTGCTTTTATACCTGCTTATTTACTTGCTTAATACTTGCTTATATACTTAAATATATACCTGCTTATATACTTGCTTGTATACTTGCTTATTTACTCGCTTTTATACTTGCTTATATACTTGCTTATATACCTGCTTATAAACTTGCTTTTATAATACTTATATCTTATCTACTTATTTATAAACTTTCTTATATACTTGCTTATATACTTTCTTTTATAATAGCTTATATACTTGCTTGTATACTTGATTATTGACTTGGTTATATAATTGCTTATTTACTTGCTTATATACTTAAAAATATACCTGCTTATATACTTGCTTATATACTTGATTATACACCTGCTTATATACTTTCTTATATACTTGACTATATACTGAATTATATACTTGCTTAAATACTTGCTTATGTACTTACTTATTGACTTGCTTATATACTTACTTATATACTTTCTTATATATTTGCCTAAATACTTGCTTTTATACTTGCTTATTTACTTACTTATTTACTTGATTATATACTTTCTTATATACTTGATTTTAAACTAGCTTATGTACTTGCTTATTTACTTGCTTATATACTTACTTATATACTTTCTTATATACTTGCTTATATACTTGCTTGTATATACTTGCTTGTATACTTGCTTATATACTTGCTTATGTACTTGCTTATTTACTTGCTTATATACTTGCTTATTTACTTGCTTATATACTTAAAAATATACCTGCTTATATACTTGCTTATATACTTGCTTATGGACTTGCCTATATACTTGCTTATACACCTGCTGATATACTTTCTTATATACTTGACTATATACATGCTTATGTAATTGCTTATTTAGTTGCTTATATACTTTCTTATACACTTGCTTAAATACTTGCTTTTATAATTGCTTATATACTTGCTTGTATACTTGCTTGCATACCTGCTTATATACTTGCTTTTATACTTGCTTATGTACTTGCTTATTAACTTGCTTGTATACTTGCTTATATACTTGACTTTATACTAGCTTGTATACTTTCTTCTAAACTTGCTTATTTTCTTGCTTATATATTTGCTTATTAACTTTCTTATATATTTGCTTATATATTTAAATATATACCTGTCTATCCACTTGCTTATTTACTTGTTTATATACTTGCTTATATACTAGCTTATTTACTTGCTAATATACTTCCTTTTATACTAGCTTATATATTAGCTTGTATACTTACTTGTATACTTGCTTATATACTTGCTTATTTAGTTGCTTATATACTAGCTTATACACTTGCCTATATACTTGCATACATACTTGCTTATATACTAGCTTATATACTTGCCTATATACTTGTTTATATGTAGCATATTATAAGTACATAAGCAAATATAGCATATTATATATTTGCTTATGTACTTGCTAATTTACTTGCTTATATACTTTCTTATATACTTGCTTATATACTTGCTTATGTACTTGCTTCTTTACTTGCTTATATACTTTCTTATACACTTGCTTTTATAACTGCTTATATACCAGCTTGTATACTTGCTTGCATACCTGCTTATATACTTGCTTTTATACTAGCTTATGTACTTGCTTATTAACTTGCTTATATACTTGCTTATATACTTGATTTTGTACTAGCTTGTATACTTTCTTCTAAACTTGCTTATTTACTTGCTTATATATTTGCTTATATATTTTCTTATATATTTGCTTATATACTTAAATATATACCTGTCTATACACTTGCTTATAAACTTGCTTTTAAACTTACTTATTCACTTGCTTATTTACTTGCTTATTTACTTGCTTATTTACTTGCTTATATACTTGCTTATATACTAGCTTATTTACTTGCTTATATACTTCCTTTTATACTAGCTTATATACTTGCTTGTATAATTCTTGTATACTTGCTTATATACTTGATTATTTAGTTGCTTATATACTAGCTTATATACTTGCCTATATACTTGCATACATACTTGCTTATATACTAGCTTATATACTTGCCTATATACTTGCTTATATACTTGCTTATGTACTTGGTAATATACTTGCTTATATACTTGCTTATTTACTTGCTTATATACTTGCGTATATACTAGCTTATTTACTTGCTTATATACTAAATTATATACTTGCGTATGTACTACTTGCTTATGTACTTGGTAATATACCGTCTTATATACTTGCTTATTTACTTGCTTATATACTTGCCTACATACTTGCTTATATACTTAAATATATACGTGCTTACATACTTGCTTATATACTTGCTTTTAAACTTACTTATGTACTTTCCTATTTACTTGCTTATATACTTGCTTATTTACTTGCTTATTTACTTGCTTATTTACTTACTTATTGACTTGCTTATATACGTTCTTATATACTTGATTTTATACTAGTTTATGTACTTGCTTATTTACTTTCTTATGTACTTACTTATATACTTTCTTATATATTTGCTTTTATAATAGCTTATATACTTGCTTGTACAATTGCATGTGCACTCGCTTATTTACTTGCTTATATACTTGCTTATATACTTACATATATATTTTCTTATATACTTGCTTATATCTTACTTATATACTTGCTTATATACTTAAATATATATACTGGCTTATTTACTTGTTTATATACTTTCTTATATACTTGTATACATACTTGCTTACGTACTCGTTATTTACTTGCTTATATAATTTTATACTTTCTTATATACTTGCTTATACACTTGCTTATATACTCTCTTATATACTTGCTTATATACTTACTTATGTACTTGCTTACGTACTTGCTTATATACTTGCTTATTTACTTGCTTATTTACTTGCTTATATACTTGCTTATATAAATATATACCTGCTTATAT